TTCATTTCGCTGGAAACCAAACAAACGCTATGATCATCGACGAAGTCAAATTTTACAAATGTGTCTTTGAATGACAAAACTATCCAAACAAGGTCAGGTACATGACACAAGATTAAAGATTTTAGTGATTCTGAAATTGACAATTAAACATTATTTTCATTAAGGAATGTGAAAGCTTAAACCATAATTATTATGCCAAAGTCATCAAGAGCTGCTAGAGCAATACAACTTGGTCATGGGTGACATCAGGTTGCAAATCGTACAAAAGTTTCGTGAGGTAGAAAATGTGGTTTAAATTTAATTTTGTTTCATGGAAGTCATTTGAACTATTTATTTATTATGCCCCGAATGGCGCATATAGTTATCGCACTGTCCGTCGTTCCGTCCGTCTGATAATCTTGTTGTGCATACTTTTGATATTATGCTTGTTTTTTTGCACAGTTTTGGTCCCTTAATGGTCTATTTTTTAGTGAAATAATTAAGCTTGCCCACACTGCATCTCCAAATCAGGTAGGGGAAGTATTTCAATGAAACACAAGATTGTTTGTAACCATGCCTTGTTATGCATAGTATCTTGTTTTTCTGCTTGATTTTTTTGCACAGTTATGGCCCCTTAATTGTCAATTTTCGTGTTAAAAAAGTTTGTCCCCGCTTCATCACCAAAACCGCTGGGAGTTACAGTGAAACTTTACAGGATTGTTTGTCACCAAGCCTAGTTGTGCATACTCTCTTGATATTCTGCTTGTTTTTTTTTTTGCCCCTTAATGCTCTTTTTCCAGTACCATAAGCTTGCCCACGCTACATCACCAAAACCATGGAGGGATTTCAGTGGAACTTCATAAGAACTTCACAGGATTGTTTGTCACCAAACCTAGTTGTGCATAGTTTCTTTTTTTTTCTGCTCGATTTTTGGCACAGTTGTAGCCCTTTAATGGTATATTGTCAAGTAAAATAACCTTGTCCAAGCTACATCTCCAAAACCATCGGGGGATTTCACTGAGACTTCACAAGATACTTTATCACAATGTCTAGGGTCCTGATTTCCCTCATTATTTTTGGCACAGTTATGGTCTCTTAATGGTCTTTTACGAATAATGAGCTTGTACACGCTTGGGAATGGGAAAAATTCAGTGAAAGTTCACAGTATTTGTTTGTCGCCATATGATGTGTATCTTGATTTTCTACTTGATTTTTTAAGCACAGTTATGAACCCTAAATTCAATGGTCAATTTTCGGGTGAAGTAAGCTTGTACGCGCTTCATCTCCAAAGCCGCTGGGTGAGGCGGAGTGATTTCAGTAAAATTTCACAGGATTGCTTGTCACCAAGGCGAGTTGTGCATAGTATCTTGATTTTTCAGTAAATTAACTTTGGCCATCCTTCATCTCAAAAATTATGTGTGAAATTCCTGTGAACATTAATAAAATTGTTTGCATAGTGATTTTCGAAGTCTAGTTGTGCATTGTACGTGCCATGATTTTTTTGTGCATGATTTTTTTTTCGCACAATTATGCATGGGCTCTCGATGATGAATTATTTTAGTAAAATTTGTTTAAACTATTTCTCCAACACTTCTTATGGAATTTCAATGGACTTTAAGGGATGATAGTCATCAAAGGCAATCAAGCGTTATATATTACCTGTATTTTGGCATATATTGCGGATTTTATGTCATAGCTTCCATTCCGGGGCATAAGTAACTTTTCAGTGACAGCTCTTTTATTTAGTCTTTCATGTTCGTCTCATCATTATACAATGCATAAAATCTAAATATATACATTGCATATAGCCACTCTAAAATAGATTGTAAGAGAACACTGGCCATTACTTTCGCAGAAGCGGTGGGTCCATTGCAGCGGCGTTGGAGCTGGAGTAGTTGTCGCAGAAGCGGTGGGTCCATTGCAGCGGCGTTGGAGCATTTGTCGCAGAAGCGGTGGGTCCATTGCAGCGGCGTTGGAGCATTTGTCGCAGAAGCGGTGAAAAAAATGGCCGTCGAGTAATATTTTGCTGTTGTCGGTAAGTATATGACTAAATTTTACTTTAAAGGTGCTCCACTGAGGTATGTTTGAAAATGTCACAAAAAAGTAAATTTTCACGAACCGATATTTTTTGTTACCTGCGTGTTAGGGACATTTAAACAGAATCAGTGATACATTGATATGTGTTCTTATAGGCTTGGCAATTCGTTTGAAATATAGATTTTCTCCAATTTTATGGGAAAAGCGTTTAAACGCTTTTCAGTTTGAAAAGTCTATAAATAACTGTCACGAGATGAGTCTCGGAATGACTAAAAAGCGAAACGGATATTTTTTTGTGTATCGGCAGCAACGGAGTTTGAAAGTGGAATATATACCATTATTGCATAAATTTAAGAGCGAAATATGGATTTGTTTGTTAAATTTCTTGTTATATATTGTCTACATATTTTAATGTGAAAGAAATCATTCAAAAACAATTTCAATACAATTTAAAGCCTCATATTTATGTAATCTTGTTTTTTTTTTACTCCGTTACAATGATGAATTTGTCTAAGCGTTCGGAGTTGGACATACATGTTACAAATATGTCTATATTAACCCTTTCCCCCATGAGCATATTGTGAAAAATGGCCATTTTCACTGAAAAGCCTCCTCTTACAAGTTCAAACTGCTATGAAACTATGAAAAATGCTTCAATACTAATCAAACTTGGCACAAATGTTGACTGGACCATTGCCTTTATAACGACATGCTCAGTCTTAAATTTCCTGTTACTATGGCAACGAGGGGACATCTCAAAATTGCCAAAAATCACTATTTTGCCTCGATTTTTTCCATCAAAATTTATTTCAAAGTGCTGCAACTTCTCAAGGATTTGAGATAGAGTCAAAGGCTTTTCAGCGTTGGTTACACGTTACATTATGATCGACCTGGGGTCATTTTAGCCTCTCACAAGTCCAAAATTTTCTTGGCGATGAGGGGGACTTCGCCTCCTTCAAACCCCCCTAACAGAAGGGGGCACATCCCCCTTCTGGCAACCCCCTGATGTATCTTTTGGATGGGGGGCGGCGCCGAAAAAGTGCTCAATTTTTTAGCAACATTTCTCAAATGAAAACATGTGTTTGGGGCCCAAATAGGACATTATTTTCACTATTTGAGGCCTTAAAAAAAGGGGGGAGGTCGAAAGTGCGTTGTTTCGCGTATATATGAGGTAAAGGGTTAACAAAAATGATGAAACACTTTGGAATCACCTTAAAACTAATTTTTCCATGTTAACATGTGGTCTTTCACCTAATTTTGGTGAAAAATTGTTGTTTTGTCACATTTATAATTTTTTAAGTTAACCCTTTCCCCATGAGCATATTGTGAAAAATGGCCGTTTTCACTGAAAAGCCTCCTGTTACAAGTTCAAACTGCTATGAAACTATGAAAAATGCTTCAATACTAATCAAACTTGGCACAAATGTTGACTGGACCATTGCCTTTGTAACGACATGCTCAGTCTTAAATTTCCTGTTACCATGGCAACGAGGGGACATCTCAAAATTGCCAAAAATCACTATTTTGCCTCGATTTTTTCTCAAAGTGCTGCAACTTCTCAAGGATTTATATATTTGTTCATTTACCGTGGTGATCATTTTGGCAAAATATTGCACAATTTTGCATTCCTACTGGCTACTACTGCTTTATTTCCACGTTCTTGCTTAACTGGATGTGTACAGTATCCATCGTGTTCTATTAAAGCTTTTTGTCTTCACTTACTATACTTTTTCTTCGTTATTGATAATATTTTTTTCACGGATTTTAATTAAATTCCGTGGTTTTTAATGAAGTCCATATAATCTTATTAGAGTTTTTTTCTTCTTTTGGTTGGATTTACATCGCACAAACATAGTATATGTAAAAAGACAACTTTTCGGCTTTACTAGTGGAGGTAGACCTTCTGGCACCTGCATAGAACCCCAGCGTTGAGGTGAAGTGGTTTTCCTTATTTTTTAGGTCATCGACGTTAACGGACGTCCCGGCTACATTGATTTTACGGCAAGATGAATTATTTCATCGCTGCGAATATGTCTATATATATGAGAGGAAGAGGACAGGGTCTAGGGGGTAGTCAAAATATATAGATGTGGCAAAGCTAGATTCTAAAATATGGTCGTTCTGGGTTTGTAGAGGCCATACACAAACTATCTCATCGCGACTAGTACAATTAGTTGGACTAGCCCTCTAAGAATACTGGCCAAAATAGTGCTGATTGTCAGAGTTTTGACCTTTCACAACAACTTGCAGATTACGTGAATGACCTGGTCGACCAACAGGTGACATCAGGATTCATACATTGTGTTTTGTGATTTTAGAGAGGGCTTGGACAAAATAAGAAGTATAGACATTAGCAGGCCCAATTATACATGTACATTGAAGAATACAATATCTAATGACGTTTCTAAATTATGTTTAATTACTTATGAAAGTTCTTTATACATCTGGGACTTAAAATATTTTAAATCCCTGTATACAAGCTGGACATTTCGGTATCCAGAGAAAGGAGTGGTCAAGGTCACCATCGATTTAATATTTTCCATTAAATGTACGTTGACCGGATTCCGCTTTGCTTTCTTAAATCCGTCAGTGATAACAATCCGCTATTCTGGCCACCTTTTTATGAGAAACTTTCCAAAGAGATGAAATCTTTACTGGTGCAGCTGGCTTTTTGGAGTAGACTTTGATGGCAACTGAGTTTGCACAGTTAAACATGAAGAAATATTTGACTGTTTAGGTAGTGCCTGTCACTCAACACTACAATGTACGTATGTTGTATCTTATTGATTTAACACTTGAGGATTTTACACTTCATAATTAGGTAACAAATTAAAATGTAGGTAACAATCTTTTTCACTTAGACTTATCAATTAGTACAATATAGGCTTTCTATACATCAATCCAGAATCTATTCTTAATCTTATTAATAATCAATTCAAAAAACAATTTTATTAATATATAACAGTGACATCACAAGGCTAAAACATTTTCTGTCACTTTTATTCACATTTTATCTTTAAACAGTGTATATAACAATAAATATCATACATATTCCTTGTATGCCTTTGTCATAACTGATTGCTTTACTTTTGCCTTGCCTCCCCACATGAAGTCATAAAATAAATGATTATCTTTAAAAATGCTGCACAAGGAGTTGGCAAACAATGTGTAAATAAAGGAAATAATACAGACTTAATATCAGTGACTATATCTATTGGTGTTAACATTTTTTCCCCAATGATCATTTTTTTACCTTTTGAAATTTTGCTTTAAAGTTTAAAACAATAATTTTGTCTAAATCTACAACTGTGTATCAGCCCATGTAAGTTTTCATCTTGTCTTAATTGATCTAGAACTGTATTTAAGGGAACATAACCAAATGACTTTGTTTTTATCAAAATTTACTTTTAGTCAAGAAATCTCTGAAAATATATTCAATAATTTTAGAGAATTATAATCAATTATCTAATGATTTTTAGAACCATCTAACAATGGTGATGTAACATCTACAAATTGTGTAATTTTATATTCTTCATCATCAATAAGTATACCTTTAACATCATTACATTGTTTTATTCTAATAGCCAATATTCCTGTGCATACAATGAAAATATATGGTAAATTGGCTTACAGCCTAAATGTTAAACTAATGAAAATTTATAACCATGATGTAAATTATATATATTTTATGTTTGTGGCCCACATGGAAGATTGGGCAACCAAATGTGTAGCCTCAGTAAATAAAGACTTTACTTACTTACTTACTTACTAAACTTTGAAAAATGTAGGTATAAAACCATTTAGTATAAACACAAGTTTCAGTATTGTATAAAAATAATGATATCCATAACACAAAAGTTGATTTTGATGACAGTTGAGGAGTAATACTTGTATTTCCTCACTAATATATTATGCATTCATGCTATGTTTCATTACAATCTAACTGACCAGTCATTTAGATGATGATAATTTTTATGATATTGGCCGGGAGATACATTTTTTTTACCTAAACAAGTGGCTAATGGATCAATGTTGCTTCCACATTAGAACAAATTTGGTAATGATGCAGTCATTATTGCTACACACCTTGTGTATTTTCTAGTTTGTGGTTTTAGAAAATATTACTTTTTAAGAAAATTTCCCTCAAAGGACTGTAAGAGGCCAATGATTGTCCTAATTCCCTGCAAGGTTTCATCAACAACGGCCAAGTGGTCTCCTCCACCTTAGTATTTTTTTCACTTCACTTTCTTTTTCTTCCAATCTTCTGTCACTTGTCTAAAAAACACCAGCTCTGATGAAGGCATATAGTTGCATGTTTTCTCTACACATAAGAACCATCTTGACTTCATATCCAAATATGTATTTGAATTTAGACTCCCTGTATTCCTATCCATTAATTTGAATGGTACATGCCAGCCTTTTTCTGTCTCACTTACTCTAAATATGCATGTATCTGGGTACTGAAAAAAGAAATTTAGAAGAATTGCACATCACATTTTTGGCTAAACTGTAGGAATATTTCCTAGACTTGTCTGATTAATCTATTTTTTCCTAGACTTGTCACATTTAAAACAACATACTGACAAAATAAAACAAGTTACAGATACATTAAAATTACATTGTACCAATCAAAGGGTAAATATGTCAGGTGAATGTAAAAATAAATTAACATTTTGCACCATGCCGCTTTTAAGGACAGTTTTCACTTTGACTCTATACATTGAAAAAATCAGTTTACCAACCATGTCTCTATTACTTATCAAAACATTAACCTGTAATACAACCATGCAAAGTAATGACCAGACATTACTATGTGTTTATTGCCCCCATTGTCAGAATCTTTCCTGTGGCATAAACAATTAAAATGTGGTCAATATCTATCTAAGTCTATTAGACGCTTGACTTAAGATATACCTTTCGTATTCAAGCATCAGTATGATTCAGATTAAACCTTTTCTTACAATTATTTTAAATATCTATGGTGTGAGAAACAATTAATTTTGTCGGCATAATTAGAAAGTAATCGACTGGTTAATAGTAAATGTATATGATTTTGTTTGTTTTGCAACACAAGTTGATCAGGCTTGTATGGTAAAATTCCCTACTGATACCAATCTACTAAATGGTTTTGTTGGAGGAGATGTTGTTTAAAGAAAGTGTGGATAACAATGGATGATGGACAACTTGCCACCACAAAAGTCTAACCTTGAGCATATTGTGATCAAGTAAGAAAAAATAGAACATACTACAAATTTTGTAGGAGGAATGAAAAAGACCCTTTGTTTATTTCTCCATGCTTCAAAGAATGGCCTCAGGTCTGGATCCATAATCGAAATATGATCCCCAAAGTCATCATTTGTCACTACATAACATTCTGGTCCCGACATGAAAGCTGCAAGCATTATGTAAATGTCATCACTTGACCTGTAAAAGTGAAAACAAGAGCTGTCAGAAGGACAGCGCGCTCGACTTTTTTAGTGCTTGCCTATAAAACAAAACTTTGACAGTTAAGGGCACACAAGACTTTAACTAGGAATTTCTAAGTACAAATCAAGAAACATTTTCACAGAGTTATCTTCTCTTGCTTACAGATAGGTCTCATGATGGCACATAAGAACTCCAACTTCCAAAGTAATATCTCAAATGGTTAAGTCAACAAGTGGACAAGAATGAAAATCTTAACTGAGTTTCTAAGTCAAAAAGGGCCATAATTCAAATAAAATCCTTAACAGAATTACCTTCTCCTGCCCATGTTTTGGGACCATGATGGTAAACAAGTATTCCAACTTTCAAATTAATATCTCAAACAGTTCAGTCAAAAAGTGGACTGGTACTAAAAACTTAACCAAGATTCTAAGTCGATAAAAGGCCTTAATTTTTTAAAACAAATCCTTGACAGAGTTACCTTCTCTTGCGTACAGATGGGGGTAATGATGTGAAATAGCATTAAAAGTTTCAAAGCAATATCTCAAAGGGTTAAGGCAATAAGTGGATTTTACCCATATTCAATGTATTTTCTAAGTCAAAAAAGGGGCATAATTCTGTCAAAACCTTGACAGAGTTATGTCCTCTTGTCTGTTGATGAAGGTCGTGATGGTAAACAAGTATGGTCAGTTTCAAAAGCAATACCTCCAATGGTTTTGAAATAAAGTGAGGTGGTACAAAAAACTTAACCAAGCTCAATACACTTTCTAAGTCAAAAAAGGGCCATAATTCTGTCAAAAACCTTGACAGAGTTATGTACTCTTGTCTGTAGATGGAGGTTATGATGGTGAACAAGTATGGTAAGTTTCAAAGCCATACTTGTAATACTTCTGAAATAAAGTGGGGTGGTACGAAAAACTTAACCAAGGTGTGACGCCAACGCTAACGCCGACGCCGACGCCGGGGCGAGTAGGATAGCTCCCCTTTTCATAGAAAAGTCGAGCTAAAAATTGCCTACTTTATTAATGATGGCTAAAACTGTACTTACATAGTATAATATGTTTTATTATCATCCTTAAGATGACAACTGCCAAGTAATTGTCACAAAAATTATTCCTGACTCAAATAGTATGTCTTTGACCCAATGACCTCAAAATCAGAGGGGTCATTTACTGGCCAAGGGTCATGTCCCTACTAAGTTTCACTATACTAGATTTATTCAAGTCAGACAAGGATTCTATACTAAATGTCACTGTGACCTTATCCTTTTGACATACTAAGCTCAAAATCACTTGCATGATGGGCAATGTCAGTATCAAGTTTTACAAAACTTGCCTTATTCCTTTTGGACAAGGCTTTAACATTTTGTGTCATTGTGACCTTGATATTTGACCCAATGTCAAATTCATTTTCTGGTCATGACCAACTTCCCTACAAAGTATGACAGCACATTTAAAAGTAATCAAGTTATTGAGCGGACATTGATGTGTCAAACAGACAGACGGAAAGACAAGTGCATTACAACATACAACAGAAATTACCTTTGGGCGTATCAAAATGGATGCCACAATTATTTACCTTTACAGGATAATTTCCCCCTAATAACCTAAGCCATGAAAGGTGAATGGCAAGTCATATTTTAAGATCTTTAACTACATGGCCATGAAGGTCCCATACATATGTAAAATTGATTCGGTGTGTACTAAATTTATATAGAAACAGAGTTTGTTTGTGTTTTTATGTATCTTTTTTTCACAGAAGGCAAAAAAAATTTCCTATATTTAAATATAATTTTGCAGTTATTTTATTATGATTTGCTACAACAAAATCCACTTCTTGCTCCTATACATTATGTGACTTGTTAATAAAATCAAATGCAACTTACTTGTGACCATCACTAACTCTGAAAATAGGTCCTGTGTATGATCTCATTTCTCGTGGAAAGCCTTTTGTTATCACCAAAACACGTTTCCCTTCTTTGTGTAACATTTTCAGTTTTTGTTTTGGAAACTGAAACAAAAATATCAGCAATACATGACATTGTACTGATGCACGATCCTTAACTCCAAAACTTAGTAACATTGCAATATTATTAATTAATTATAAAATTGAAATATTAATTTTTGTCAAAAAACCTTGATTCTACATCCTTCAACCCTGAAAAGTGACCTTACTCAATTTAAAAAAGAAGAAAAAGAATAAGAAACAAGAAGGCTTATTTGTCACAAATTACACCAATTTTTAATGCTCACTTTCACAATAGTGAACATATACCTTGAAATCCCACAATTCATGAGAACTAAATGACAAATAGCTTCAATACTCACATTGTCAACTTCTTATATGACATTGGACCTTAACAATGTGACCTTAAACTTGGTTAAAGGGAAATTAATTTGGCCTAAAACACCATGTAACCCTGACCTTGGACATTCAATCATTTCTGGCTGGTGACCTTGACATTGCATATATTGACCTAGATTATGATGGCAAAACTATCAGTCTTCAACATTTTCAAATTTTAGCTCCACTTTTAGCTTCTCTCATTGGCATTGCTTAAACTTTTCATTAAGGTCCATTTTCTGAGGAATTGTTACTTATAAAATAGAGGTCTGCAAGGCAATGCAGCATGTCAAATATCTAAGCTCTGAGCAAAGAAAATGAAAATGTGTTTTCTTAAATACATTTAGGCAAAATAAATGACCCCATTGCTGTCAAACTTGTGAAAAGCATGATTGTAATCTCTTGAGCAGCGATTAAGTGACTTCCAGGTTGAGGCCAATGTTGGCATGCTTTATGTGTGCTGTATACCATTATCTAAGCTCATGGCTTTTTTGGTTTCTAAAAACATTAGTGTTTACATTACTTGTGTAGAATGTCTATGGCTATGTAAGGGTCATTCCTAAAGTTCAACTATACTGTTATGCTCTGTTGTAGAATTTGTTGATAGAAAAATCTTAATGTGGAGATCAATGCATAACAAACAACATGCAATCACAAAAGCTCACCTCTGAATACTTTGTACTCAGATGGCATTCATTCTCTGAAGTTTGAAGGCTGTGTGTAAATCAGTTCACAAAAGCTACCTTAGTGTAACAAATGACCAGATATGCATATATTACATGTATTATGAAAAGGTAAGCGAGTTGCGAGTGATACACATATGGGTTTTTTTTGCAAGTTTCAAATTCCCACAATATTCATGTGCACTGAATATCCTGTAAAATATATTTGCTAAATTTTACTTCAATTTCATACTGGGAATTCTCATGTTTCTGTAACTTGACTTCCTATCTAAAATTTGGTAGCAAGTTTAATTGTATATATTATACACCGTAATACCTATATATCTATGCTACTTGATATTCCAGTTTATTTACCATTAAATGTATTTGAAAATACATCAAATAAAATCTTTAGTGACACAGTAAGTGAACATGTATATTTGTTTGTTGAACTGATTGTCCAATAAAGTAATTCACACAGCTTCACAATAACATATGAACAATAAGCTGAGATGAGAAATAAGTGTGAAATACCGAATACTTACCTGTTAACAATACAAAAATATAGGAAATTTGAAAACAAAGTTTCACCTGTAAAAAGAAGAACGATAAATCTTGGACTAATAGAGTGGTGTCACTTTGCTAGCAGAAAAAACGCGAAATAAATAAAAACGCAATATAAATAAGCATCTACAACAAAATTGCTCATAACAGATTGGCTAAAATTAAATTACTGCCAAAAATGCGAAATTTGCTGTACACGAAAATAACCTGATGTATGGTAATATACCAGTCCCTTACAAAGTCATGCACTTACTTTATTTCTATTGTCAAAATGTGTTAAATTTAATCCATCTACTATGTAGTCAAAAGGTCCTTCCTTTTTCATAAATTCCGAGAACATTTTCAGCTCTTTTAGGGTTGCCTTCTTAAAAATGTTGTCACCAATCAATGCCTTTCTCATAGTTTCCACAAACATTTTCTTCATGACTGACTCATCTACAGACTCAAGCCCAGGAATTACCTCTTCACAACTTCTGCATATCTGGCTAGACAAAAGAAAACAATGCGGAACTCTGATTTCAACAGCTATTAACTTAAGCATTTTTATTAAATACTGACATAATAATAAGAACAAGAGGACCATAAAGGCCCTGGATCACTCACCTGAGATACAAAAAAAAGATCACAATTCTTTGATGGAAATCAGTAATTAGGTCACATTGCGTTTTCCTTTTTGAACCAAGATGCATATTTTGTATAAATACTTGTAGATGTTTACTAGGAAATACTATATGTCAAATATTAAAACCGTGGGCATTGTTATTTCATGCAGAACAAGAGCTGTCCATAAGACAGCATGCTCAACTATTATACGTACTTGCATAAAATGATGATCACTAACAAGTATTCAAAGCTTAAAAGCAATGCCTCAAAGAGTATAGGAAATAAATGGGGTCTGAAATTCTAAGTTGTAAAACAAAATGCATGACTGAGTTATGTCCTCTTGCCTGGTAGTGGGAATGATGGTCAAAAACAAATATACATGTACAAAGTTTTAAATGCAAAATGCCAAATGGTGTAGGAAATAAGTGGGGTGGTACAATGCTAGGTTGAGTTGGAAAGCTCTCTCCATTTTGTCAAAATTAGATTGTTTTCATATAACTCGAGTGGAGGACCACAAACCGATGGTATGTGCCAATTATTTATGCTCTGTTCAAAGGTCTTTAAGACCTTTTTTTATTGTACTAAAGTTCATGTAGATTAAGTGATCCTCAGAGTAGGCAATTTTTTACCAAAGGGGCATTACTTATAAAACTTTTGTAGAGGTGCATTAGGCATTGTTACATGCCAAAAATCTTGGCTTTGGACTATGAAGTAAATCTTGGCTTTGGACTATGAAGTTCTGGAGAAGAAAACTGAAAAAGTGACCCCATGTGCAATAATTTTGATCCCAAGGGCATGTATACATTTTGTAGAGGACCTGCATAAGGTGATGCTACATGCTAGATATCTAATTTCTGGGGACTGCAGTTTCGGCTAAGTTTTTTCAAGACATTTACACATTATAAGACTGTAAGTCTAGGCAAACTATGTGAACCCAAGTGGCTAGGCCATTTTTGACCAAAGGAGCAAGACTTGTCAAATTTTTGATAGAATACAGATGTATATGCTTAAAGAATTGTGGATAATGACAAACAACGGGCACACTGCCATCACAAATGCTCACTTTTGTGCTCTGGTGAGCTAAAAAGAGATGAGTAACAAATACAACAGTCAAACCAAACTAGTTGCCTTTCTGATTAATTAAATGTACCTTCTTTAATTCATACATTTGTTATTGTTAAAATCTAATGACAATGATAATAGAAACAATCTAGAATATTTACCTTTGTGGATCAACTTTTGTCAGCAGTGCACTTTTACAATAAGGCCACTCACTGTAAAAAAAGAGATATTAAGATTCACAAGTGGCCACATGTCACTAAATGAAAAAGAAGTTTAAAGTTTCAAAAGGGCCCAAGAGCCAACTAGCTTGCATAAATAAGTTAAAATGTCAAATACTAAAATCTAAAGTAATTAACTGTACCTTTCGCAGTAAATCTTTAATTTGTGTACTTTATATTCATCCAAAGGTAATCCTCCTAGTTTCAACAGCTCAAAAAACAGATCTGTAGGAATCACACCTTCTTCCCAAAATACAAAAAAGGAGTTTGTGATATCTCGATAATTATATTTGTGATCCTCCTGTATTACTTTTGTCCATACTTCATAAAATGTTAAGAAATCCTGTTCCTTTAAAGACAGTTTGAGAAGTGGATGGCAAGTACAAAACTTTGGTGACCTGTCAGCTACAATCCAAGTTTTAGCATCATATTTTTGGGCACAGTTTTGAAAGAATTGAGTCAGAGTGGACAAATCAGGTTCTTTTTTAGACTTTATATATGTAAAAAATGAAAGGCTTAAATCAGGTTTGTCCTTCAAGGTCTTCATCAAAACAAAGTCAAGGTAATTCTCAACCTGAGGATTTTCTTTTATTATGTTTTTTGTAAGATTTTCCCATTCAAAATTGGTCATTTCAAAGTAATGTGTATCTTTCAATTTCTTTTCAAAGTTGATGAATGTTTTACTATTAATCCTCTTATTTTCTTGTTGTTTATGGTCAATATTGAGACCTCTGCATACTGTTTGCTGAAATATCTTCGGAGGGAAAAGTAAACTCTTTACTTGGTGATTTAAAACACTCTGACCACTGTGTAAATTTATGTTCCATGCTCTCCAACATATAGGAATGTTTCTTGCACACCTTATGAGGAAATTATTCATCATCTTGATACTGGCAAGTACCGTTGGAAAACCTGCAAAAGATAAAATAAGAGGGTTATCATGATTGAACCAGATTGCTCACTTCAGGTTCATTACTAGAACATGTCATACTTCTTTAATAAAGAAGTAAGTACATAGTTAGGTTACATTGGGTGTGCCATCTTTTACCCAAGTTCACATTGGGTGTGTCATTTTCTACCCTAACTGTATGATTTATAAAACATCTGTAGTGGACTAGAGGTCCTCTAGGAAATGCTATATTTCTAAGTTTTAGACATTCAATAAATAATGAGTTTTTTTTTTCAAATATAAAATTTGAGCATAACATATCCTCAAAAGTTCTCAATATGATCTTTAAAAGTTTGTTACGAGACTAAAATTAAAGAGCAGGGCAACTTTCATTCTGCGTTCAAAATTTTTCATACATTACATAGATGTACAACTAGACTTGGTACTGATCATTCCAGTAAAGTTTGAAAGAGATAATGCACCAGTAGTTTCTGAGGAGTAGCCCGGACAAGTTTGTGACAGATGGACAGACAGACAACAGAGAAATGATCCCTATATGTCACCTCTACAGACACTACTCCGTAGAGGCGACACAAAAAGGTTTTAAATAATATCCATTCTCTGAATTTGGTTTTTTAAACAAACATAACTTATTGCAAAAAGAAGGTACAGTGGCACTGAAGTGAAACATGTTATTTATCTCATATACACCAGTTACTAAGTCGTGTGCACAATATAATTATGTTGTGTGCACAAGTATATGTCATGCTCACGAGATACTATGTCATACAAACGAGATAATTAAGTAATGCACACAACATAATTAGTCAATTAGATTAAACTTTACATATATGAACAAATGTTGTTCAGTAAGGTACAGCTGATAATTGAAAGTCGAAATATGGTAGTACAAATTATTTTACACTGTAATACACAAAATTGTGACAATTTACATAAGGTAATTCTCTCATGCTCACGACATACATGTAGTTTCTCGTGCGCACAACTTAATTATGTCATGTGCATGACTTAGTAACTTGTGCACATAACATACTATCTTATGTGCACAACTTAATTATCTTAAGTGCATGACAAAGTATTTGTGCGCACTAGATTAATAAAAACACACACATGTCTCCTCTTTGCCGCCGTAAGGAGAAGATTAAATAAGTGATTTGAAATTTTATTCAAGTTTTTCATGGATAGATAAAAGATAAAGAAGAGCAGGTGACCTGTATTTTTTAAAATTCAATTCATAACACAAATGACCAATTAAGTAATTATTATATAATTTGATTATAATGTCACCGTTAAGAACTGTTCACTATTTAGGGGAAAAGATGTGTAAGTTGCCGGTTAGTTCAGAAGGTAGAGCCGCCATACGATTTTCCGAGGGTCCACGAGTTCGAGTACCAGGCAGGCTGCACATTTTTCTCACCCTGTGACATTTGGCGCCCAACATGGGGCGGTCACTAGATATAGCTCAGAGTTTAATTCACATTACTCTGACTAACTAATAAGAGGACGTATTTCAATATAGCAGCGGACTAATATTGTCACGGTTCAGAACTGTTCACCATTTAGGGCAGAAGATGTGTAACTGTAAGCGGCCGGATAGCTCTGTCGGTAGAGCCGAGGTATGGTATTCAGAGGGTCCCGGGTTCGAGTCCCGTTCAGGCTGCACATTTTTCTCACACTGTGAGTTATTATAACTTTTTAGCAACAAATTGTAATACATTAAACTTTCCAGATGCATTTTTTCCCTGTACAAACAGTCTATCACCATGATTCACGATTTTAACATACCCACTGTTCCCCCTCTACAAACATCATCCAAACATCATAAGTTTTTACAAAAATCAATTAGATCTGGGACAGAAGATAACTGTCCCAGATTAATTATATGAAGAAAAAATATTAGCCTAAGAAAAGTAATTTCTAATATAGATCAACCGGGGCAGATTAACACAGAAAAATATGCAAAAGATAAATAAGATATATAAAAAAACTGAAAATAGTAAACAGTATACTAACGTATTCTGTGCTATTTTGAGTTGAGTGAAAAGAACCACATTCATGATTGGAGTGTCAACAAACCTTAGTGGGGCGAATCGTTTTTAGAGCGAATCTTGAAGGTCAGGACACTTGTTCAATTCATTAAAAAAATTATATATTTCATGAGGCATAATTATTAAAAACAGGTCTTTGGGTGAGTTTGGGTTTGCTGCAGGCCTACATGCTTACAACGTGTTCTAGTCCCGCCTACTGAATTTTGCCACGCCTTTTTTATTGCCGTTATCCATAATAAATTAATAACCTGTCCGTTCACTTTGCAGGAAACCAGATGGAGGCGATACATTCGGAGCACCTTGCTTATTATCGCCTGTGCAAAACGCATTTTCTCGGTCCTTTCAATTGTGCTGACGGAAAATGCCGAGTAATTTACTTCCGGGTTGAAATATCTTATTAACATAATTGTAAACAAAATGAAGTAAGTTTGGTCACCACATTTTAAGATGGAGAGATTTGACATGCACTGCCTCTAGATAGTTTTGCACATCATTCATAGACTTACGAGTAAGTTGCTAACACGTCCTTTTTAAATTAACAACATGTGTTTATTTTTATAGAGTGCCTTACTCGATTCGGACCCTTACCAATTCGACCCTTTTGAAAAAAATGACCAACGACATTGTGCCAATTTTGACTGTCTCACTGACAGGGTGTGAGAAAAATACCTGACAGGGACACAAATGTGTGGTTCTACTGACTGAGTTATCCGGCGGGCCACTAACACATCTCCTCTTTAATTGGGCTCTAAATAGTGAACAGTTGTGAACGGTAGTCAGACTATTCTCTCCCTTACCAGTTCCTTCCCTGACGTTTCCTCCCTGACGGTTCTCTCCCTATTTTGGGGGAGAACTGTCTGCATATTTGCAAATAAGCAGACAGTTCCTCCCCATCTTTATTAATACATTATTATTGAAGTATTTAGATGTTTAATAAATGGATAAGTTTATTAATAAATTATGATATTAATTGATATAAATTAGAGAGAAAAATATTTTATTGGAGTATTTAGATGTTTAATACATTGGCATGTTTATGATTAATTGATATAGATTAGATAAAAAAATATTTTTAGCATATTAGTATATTATTCTGATTATTTTATTAGATCTAACATATACTTTTTAATGTGTTTAATTTACTTGATTAGGATAATCATTGGATATTTATTATTGAGTCAGGTTTTTTGTTTGTTTTTTTAATAAATAAGAAAAAAAAATTATAAGAAAAAAATGATTTATAAATTTTAATTGCTAAATTTCATACTTTTGTATAATGAAGAAAGGAGTACAATACACATGTGCGTTAAGTTTGCTGTCAGAGATAATTAAGGTGTTTATTAATTTGTTATTCAAGAATCAAGGTGTAATCTAATGATTAAAATAATTGTGAAAAGGTGTTTATAAACAAATATTTTTATTACTTATTTGGTAATATATATTGTTTCATGTTAATGACTACATGTTCTTTAATCAATTTTGTATAAAGTAAATGTGAAATGTGATTGCATACATGTACCAGTTGTTGCTTATTTATTTTCTATAACATACTTGTTACCTCCTTATTTGCTATTTAACAAATGAATAGATATCACTAGACCTTCACATAATTACAGGTGTATGTATATCAATCACTGTCCAATAATCTTAACCTCTCATAATGAAGGTGTTAATAGGATTTAAATATCTGAAAAAGGTGTTAAATTTACAAACACTTTTCAGAATCAAATAAACATAAAATGCATTTTACTTAATATAAAATACATTCTTTTAATAATCTTCAAGAAATATTATTAGATTAAGTCAAAACTAAAGTGATAACTAACAAATGAAAATTGGGGGAGAACTGTCTGCATATTTCAAATTTGGGAGAGAACTGTCAGGGGAGGAAACGGTTTGGGAGAGAACTGTCAGGGAGAGGAACTGGTAAGGGAGAGAATAGTCTGTCATTCTTGTGAACCGTGACATACCAGCTATATTGACAGTCTTCCTTGAATTTCTCAGGGTTACAGAACAATGTAAATTAAACTCTGAGCTATATTCAGTCTAAATGGTGACAGACAGAAAGAAAGAAATTAATTTCTGCAAGATATCAATTCATTTTGGATATCAATACTTAGTATTAGTGTTATTATGTTATTTTGAAATCAACAATCAGAGGCTATTAGTTACTAATATTATATTTATTTTAATTTTCAGACTTACCGAAAGAAAAGATCAAAAGAGTGATATAGAAAGTTAGCCAAAAATAAGAGGCTATATCAGGCACACAGAATTTGGAAGACAAAAATGAATTTACTTGAGTCTACTCTACAATGTCTCAATACGTGAAGGCAGAAAAAAAGTTGTTTAATAAAAATGTGCAAGATTACATAATAAAACCTTTGATTAAACAGAGAGAAACTGGAGAACTTTGTGATGTTGAAATAAATTTAAACGGTCGTCTGTTTTATGCTCATCGTGCAATACTTTCATTATGGAGCCCTTATTTTCTATCAATGTTCACATGCGACATGAAAGAAAAGCTGACAAATGTGTTAGATTTATCAGAATCCCTAATGATTGAGAATGATAATGTATTTGATCAGATATTAAACTATATGTACACTGGAGTAATTCAGTTGACCATCTCAAATGTAGAAGATATAGTGCGTGTTTCAGATTTTCTTTTGATGGATGATGTCAAAGAATACTGCAGTCAGTTTTATCTTGAACTTGGAAATCTTGACTTAACCAATTGTTTGCGAATAAAGTACCTCACAGAAAATCACAATCTACCATTAGTGGCAAGTGCTTGCCAGTCAATGATTGAATCTCGTTTCCATGACCACTTGATTCACCAAGATGAGATCATTGAGTTACCAAGTTTGTGTCTGTTTAAACTGTTAGAAGATCCAAATGTTGTAAAACACACTAAATATAATCAGTTAAAAAAGTTGGTACAAAGGTGGATTGCAGCTGATACTGATTCACGACAGAAATATCAAACTGACCTGAGCAGATGTATCAAATTGTGGGTTTGTGAGCATATTTGTGATGTTCCTTCTGGAATACATTCCAGCTGCTCAGCAAGTGTTATATTACAATCTTCTTCCATGAATACCAGGTGCAATAATGACTTCATGTCCGCTAGTTTTGCCTGCATTGAAAATCAGGAAACACTGTCAACCAGACCAAAAACTTGCAGAGTCCCAGAAAAATTCCCTGTATTATATGCAGTAATTTGCAACCAAGGTATGAAATTCTTAAAATTCATGGTGTACAATATAACACATCAAAAGTGGCTACATTTTCCTCTGGCTAGTGAGAAGATAGTACAAATACTTCCTGCACGGCAGACCATTGGTAACATGATCTCGCATAAAAATAATCTGTACATGTACCTTTGCTCATCATTCCCATACCCAACAGATATGATGAAAATCAACATCCTGGTTGTAGATGTTGTTAAATTTCATGCCTCTTTGTATAGCTTTCGAACAGTTGACTTTTACAACCCATGTTATCGCACCACATTGACAAACTGCCGAACAGTCCCGCCAGCAATGGTATATTGTAATCAGAATATATATATTATTGGAAATAAAGAGGGCACTGGACACTTGTTTCTTTGCAACTTGCATACACAGCAATACAAGTGTTATCAGATTCCGGGCACACGTTTCATAAGTCTAGCTAGAGCTACTGTTAAAGATGATAGGTTCATTTTTCTCTGGTTTAGATTTCGAACAGGACCCTCAGAAGAGTTTTGCATTAAGAAATCTGTAGGTTTTGCCATGTTTGATGTCAAGTCCAAGATATTTAACACTTTGGACATTGCTCCACCAGATATTTCTTACGATGACTTTTGCACCCCATACACTCTTTGCTGCAGGGACAATACTGTCTTGATATATTATCCAGGAAAACCAACTCTCGTGTTAGATGAAATCAGATGCAAGTGGATAACATCCCTTCGTAGACTACCATCACCAGTCCACATGACCAAACTCAACTCTGAATCTATAGAAGTGGATTTTTCAAGATTTCAGCTCCAAACTGCAACAGAAAATAGTATTTTCATTCTTAATAATGATGCCCCATACACCACCTCTATGTATGAGGTGACCGAGTCATTGCCACAAGCCGTGTGTCACACTCCACCACCTATTGACAACATCTCCATGGTTACCAGTGGTAACATGGCAACCAATGTACTCAATGACCTCCAACTGTTTGACAGATATGATGATATGTATGCAAGTACCCTGCATGTGGCTTTGAGAGTGTCTGACCCGGAAACAGAGGATAGTGGAGGAACCTCAAACTCTGAACGGGACTCGGACAATGATTATGAATATGATGAGGATATTTATGACTATGACTACGACTTAGAGGCGGAGTTTGCATTTTAAGAGCTTGCTTTACAATTTGTCCCTACTTCAGTCATTATTGACATGATGAATTCTTAGAGAGTTGATGTAAATTTAGCATAGATAAATTGCAGGTATATTTATGTGCTTGAGATTTAAGATGAGACAGAGAGTAGGTTTTGATGTAAAAGTAGACTAGACTACCATTCTAAATGGTTATCAATGTAAAGTGTATAATGTATAAAGTAATTTATTTTTATAGATTATTTCTGAAATAGTAAAATGGCATTTAAAACAATATGGTACATTAAAAAAATAGGGAGCACTAGTTTTCTTCTTACACAGGTGTTTTTATCAAGTCAGTCTCACGTTTTGGTTAAGTTTTTTGTACCATTAAATGTTTTTACAGAACCTGGCCAGTGTTGTGGCAGTGTTTTTGATTTATATGAAAAATTTATTTCTAAATGTATGATACATTGTGCATCTTGAAAATGTTTTTACTAAAGAACTACCTCCATCATCAGTTTATGAAAAGTTTACAAGGGCATGGCACCCTTAATTAGTTTGTAAAGCTAATATACTAGATTGTAAGTTTATGAGTTTTTTTTTTCAGTGTAACTTGAGGGTTCCAAGAAGTAAATCAATTTTTTATGCCACCGCAGCATCTGCGATGCGGTGGCATATAGCGATTCACCTGTGTGTGTGTGTGTTTGTTTGTTTGTTTGTGTGTGTGTGTGTTATATAGATTATATAGTGAACTTAAAAAATCTTCTTGTGAAAAACCACTAGTCCAATTTCAACCAAACTTGGCAGGATTGATCCTTGGGTGAAGGGCTTCCAAAGTTGTTCAAAGAATTTCATTCCATGCATAAATCTGGTTGCCATGGCAACCAAAAGGAATTATAAGAATAAATTAAAAAAATCTTCTTGTAAAGACCCAAAAGGCCTAGAGCTTAAATATTTTGCATAAGGCATTGTCTGGTAGACCTCTACCAAGATTGTTCAAATTATAGCCCTGGGGTCAAAATCGGCCCCACCCCGGGGGTCATTGATTTTCGCTATATGTACATATAGTAAAAAATTAAAATACCTTCTTGTAAAGACCCAAAAGGCCTAGAGCCTTGATATTTTGCATAAGGCATTGTCTGGTAGACCCTTACCAAGATTGTTCAAATTATAGCCCTGGGGTCAAAATCAGCCCCGCCGCGGGGGTCATTGATTTTCACTATATGTACATATAGTAAAAACTTAAAATATGTTCTTGTAAAGACCCAAAAGACCTAGAGCTTAGATATTTTGCATAAGGCATTGTCTGGTAGACCTCTACCCAGATTGTTCAAATTATAGCCCTGGGATCAAAATCGGCCCCGCCTCGGGGGTCATTGGTTTTCCTTATATGTATATAGTAAAAACTTTAAAACAATTTCTTCCAGCAATTGACAAATGCTAGAGGTTAGATATTTGGCATAAAACATTGTGAAGTGAACTTCTAGCAAGATTGTTCAATTATAGCCCTGGGGTCAAAATTGCCCCCGCCCCGGGGGTCATTGATTTTCAATTTATACATATAGTAAATAAAAAAAAAATCTTATTGTCTGAAGGTACAAGGCTTAGAGCTTTAATATTTGTTAAATGATATCATCTATAGGTACTCTACAAAAGTTGTTCAAATTTTGCCTCTAGTGTCAAAATTAGCCCCGCCCCAGGGGCCATAGGTTTTCCTTATATGTATATAGTAAAAACATAAAAAAATCATCTCTAAATTTACAAAGGCTAGAGTGAAGATATTTTGCATGAAACATTATGTAGTGAACCTCTAGCAGGATTGTACAAATTATAGCCCTGGGGTCAAAATTGGCCCCATCCCCAGGGGTCATTGATTTTCACTATGTACATATAGTAAAAAATTTAAAAAATCTTCTTGTCTTAAGGTACAAGGCTTAGAGCTTTGATATTTGGTATCTAATATTATCTATTGGTCCTCTACTAAAGATGTTTTAATTATGCCCCTAATGTTAAAATTGCACTGCCCCAGAGGCGATAGTTTTCCTTATATGTATAAAGTAAAAACTTGAAAAATCCTCTTCTCTGAATTGACAAAGGCTAGAGGTTAAATATATGGCATGAGACTTTGCGAAGTGAACCTTTACCAAGATTGTTCAAATTATAGCCCTGGGGTCAAAATTGGTTCCGCCCCGGGGGTCATTAATTTTCATTATGTACATATAGTAAAAAAATAAAAAATATTTTTGTCTAAAGGTACAAGGCATAGAGCTTTGATGTTTGCTATATTATATATATCATCTATAGGTCCTCTACCAAAGTTGTTCAAATTTTTCCCCTGGTGTTAAAATTGGCCCTGCCCGGGGGCAGTGATTCTCATTATGTACACATAGTAAAAACAGAAAATAAAACAAATGTTTTCTGAATGGGAGAAAGCTACAGCTTAGATATTTGACTTGAAATGTTGTTAGGTGGACCTGTATCAAGATTGTTTTGAATTAAACCCTTGGGTCCAAAATTTTGCCTTGCCCAAGGGGACAGTGACCTACTTTCTTGTCCTTTGATGTACAGCAATGAAATTTTGACCATGTGCACAGTTTTAGTTGTAAAATTGAATTTTGATATCAGGTGACCTAGATTTTGATGATGTGACCTACTTTCTTGTCCTTTGATGTACAGCTATGACATTTGAACCATGTGCTCAGTTTAAGATGTTAAGTGAACTTTGATATCAGCTGACCTAGATTTTGACAAAGTGTCTTACTGTGTTGTCCTTTGATGTAGTCATGAAATTTAGGCTGTGTGAAATATGACCTTCACCAACAAATTCACTAGACTCGAGTGCATTGATATATTCCTACTCTGATCTTTTATTGAGTTAACAACAGATTTAACCACTAATCTGATAAGAATTAGATAGGTCAGGGATCTATGCATTATGACAATCTACAAAATTGTATAAAAACAAAAAAAATCTGTTCCTACATATACTATTTAGTGTTGTATTAATGCGGTGGCATAGCATTTTTCTCAAATGCAATCTAGTTTTATATAGGAAAAATTGGATTATTACTCTTACATGGTTCGAAAAGTATCATAATTCATATAACACTTAATTGAAGATTTTCATTATCCCTCATGTACAGACTCAATCAAACCAAGTCTGCAATTCTCTCGTAATTTTGTTGTGATTAATGATGCTTTCAAGGGATCACTTTGTTTCCAGATTTTTGTCATTTTAGGTAATACAGTACAAAGTCATGTACTCTACACTTTTGTAGCAACCCCAACTGATAAGTTACACTCAGTAGAATCAGCTTAAAGAAATAGATATTGTGTTCAGAGTTTTTGTTAAAGTTGATTGTTAAACAATCAGTTTTTAGAATGACATTTATAAAACTTATATAAAATAAATTACTGATAATTTATCTTTAAAATGACATAAAATTCATTACATATGCATAATGATAATATTATGTCTTTTATCTCTATATCAAAAACAATCAAGACCAATTAGAGCAATGATTTGTGTATTATTCGCAATAACTACTGAGATTAACTGATAAGAGTTATTACTGAGATTAACTGATAAGAGTTATTGCCCCCCTTTTTGTTTTTACATTTGTTTAGATAGTGTATATCATTAGTTTTCCAGTATTTATATTAAAGTACACTAACTTTGTGTGTATAAAGTGATCACTTCAATCAAGGTCAAGGTTATTAGTTGTGAAAGTAGATTTTTTAACACTTTTGCTCAAGCAGCCCTTATTTATTGACTGATATGATTATGGTAGTCTAAATTTGGGTGGAGTTAAGGGTCAAGGACACTAGTGTTTTTTTTTACACTTTGCTTTTACTGCCTTTATTTAACGATTTTCATTGAAATATAATGACAAATGTGCAGGTTTCAGGAAGCATCCACCACTTTAAGGACTATTTCTTGATTTATAATGGGCATTATATTTGTGTGTGAATCAGACTTAAATATTATTTTTTATACTCAGTTACATAGCATTTTAAAATAACAGAAGTAGTTTTCCCTTTCATGGGTACATTGTGCAATACAATTTGAGATAAGTTCAAACCTACTTGCAAATGTATGTTTAAAACGGTTTTTATGTGTAGCAATATTTAGGAGCTGATTTTAATTAGATTGTTGTTAACCCATGTTTACGTTTTTAGCTCACCTGTCACAAAGTGACAGGGTGAGCTTTTGTGATCACTTTTCGTCCGGCGTCCGGCCATCGTCCGTAAACTTTTACTTTAAATGACATCTCCTCATAAACCACTAAGCCAATTTCATCCAAACTTCACAGGAATGTTCCTTTGGTGGTCACCTTTGAAAATTGTTCAAAGAATTTAATTCTATGTAGAAATCTGGTTGCCATGGCAACCAAAAGAAAAAACTTTAAATATCTTCTTCTAAAAAACCCGAAGAGCTAGAGCTTAGATATTTGGCATGAAACATCTTCTAGTGAGTGTCTACCAAGTTTGTTCAAATTAAAGCTCTGGGGTCAAAATTGGCCCCGCCCCAGGGGGTCATTGATTTTCTCTATATGCATATAGTAAAAACTTAAAAAATCTTCTTTTAAAGAACCCAAAGAGCTAGAGGTAAGATATTTAGCATGAAACATCTTCTAATGGGTGTCTACCAAGTTTGTTCAAATAAAAGCCCTGGGGTCAAAATTGGCCCCGCCCCAGGGGGTCATTGATTTTCCCTATATGCATATAGTAAAAACTTGAAAAATCTTCTTTTAAAGAACCCAAAGAGCTAGAGCTAAGATATTTAGCATGAAACATGTTCTAATGGATGTCTACCAAGTTTGTGCAAATAAGAGCCCTGGGGTCAAAATTGGCCCCGCACCGGGGGTCATTGATTTTCCTTATATGTGTATAGCAAAAACTTAAAAAATCTTTTTTGAAAAAACTCAAATAGCTAGAGTTTAGATATTAAGCACGAAGCATCTTCTAGTAAGTGTCTACCAAGTTTGTTCAAATAAAAGCCCTAGGGTCAAAATTGGCCCTGCCCCGGGGGACATTGATTTTCCTTATACACAATGTATGTGTATAGCAAAAACTTAAAAATCTTCTTTGAAAAAACCCGAATAGCTAGAGTTTTGATATTAAGCATGAAACATTTTCTAGTAAGTGTCTACAAAGATTGTTCAAATAAAAGCCCTTGGGTCAAAACTGGCCCGCCCCAGGTGTGTCATTGTTTTTAACTATATGTGTAAAGAAAAAAGTTGACCAGCTAGACCTTAGATGTTTAGCATGAAACATCTTCTAATGAGTGTCTACCAAGTTTGTTCAAATAAAAGCCCTGGGGTTTAAACTGGCCCTGCTCCGGGGCCTATATACAGGTGAGCGACTTCAGGGCCATCATGGCCCTCTTGTTTACATTTAGTGATCAGTCTTTGCCACACAGCGTAGAACCAGGTGAGCCTACACATCCACGGGGTCTAACCAGACTGTACGTCTCACAATTTTGCATTTAGATACTGAAATCTCTATTTTGAATAGGCTGTCCCAAATTCAATGCTGGACAAATCTGTTACACAAATCAGTAGGTGAAGGGTTAACAGGTCTCGATATTCTTATTATTGATTGAAAGAGTTTTCCTTTTCCATTTACTTGCTGGAAC